TTCTGGATCGGCACAGCGGGCGATGCCGGTCTCCCTTCGATACCTGAACAATCAATCGCTGCCTAACGCCAACTCACGGGTCTTCCTGATGGCAACGGAAACACGGTACCAGACCTTTACACTGCTGGGTAATGATATTGCCTTCGATATTGACATATCCAATGTCGCTTGTGGACTGAATGCGGCCCTCTACTTTGTTGCCATGAGCCCCGATGGGGGATCAAATGAGTTTCCGACCCATCGTGCAGGAGCGAAATATGGTACAGGATACTGCGACGCGAGCTGTCCTCAGAGTCAACGATACGTAGGCGGCAAGGTCTGAGTGCTACTCGAGGCCGAACAACCGCAGCAGCTGATTGCTTAATTAGTCTAATATCAACGGGTGGGAGCCTTCTCCCTACGACTCTGCAACAAGTATAGGCAACCAGGGTGCCTGTTGTTCCGAATTTGATGTGTTGTGAGTCGTTGGCTGCCCGTACAATAAATAAACTGTTGTGCCAACGTGGGTTCTGATGCTGTAATGGCCTGCCTCATGACTAAACTGATCATTAGCAACTCCAATGCTCATTCGTACTCGGTGTTTTCAACGCTTTGTCACAGGAATGGCTACTCCATTTGCGAGTGGGATGAATGCAACCAAGGTCGACTGCCAGATTGCGACAGATGGGGCTGCGATTATACCCCATATAGACTTGGAGCCATTGATTTCGTTGGCAAGGGAAAAACAGTCCACACTGCGAGGCAGTTTACGTAGGGGTGCCTTGCGACATTCATTCGTACATATCGCTAACTCCCACTCAGTGTCGTCACCCAATTTCACGAAGATGTCGTGACACAGTGCTTCGTACAAGACGGGCAAAAGATCGAGACGCCTGCACCTATATTCAATGGCATTTCCAATACAGGTGGAATCAGCTCAGAGTATTGCGCAAACTCTGCTGTCGAATTCGAAATTCGCGACATGTTCAATCAGCTGGGAGGTTTTCATCGCCACAATGACGTTTTGCGACAGCCAATGGTGCTTACAATGGCAATAAGCGATGATCTAAGGACACCTACTCTGGTCTAGACTACCTGACAGTGTGATTGCTGATGAAGAAGAAAATAGTATTGGTTCTGGAATACCTGGCTTGATTCTATGTTCCCCGTTGAGGCAGAAGGCATGCCGGGAGTTGCTCGCGGAGATTGCCCATGGGAAATGAATGAGCCTCATCTTGTCAAGACCGAGCAACCCGACGCGTAAGCCTTCTCATCTCATCTACGACGACTTTTTCTGAAACATTACAGCATTGCTCACTGGGCAAATATTCGCTTTGGGCCCATTGATTCGACTACCGACTTGTGAGCGCAGATGGATGATTTTTGTCGACATGACTTCTGGGCGTTTGGGGAACACGATGTGAACGCCCAAAGAAGGGGATGGGATAATACGAGACAAATTTTATGGGGTACCCCCCAGAACTTTCGATGGACGATGCCTCAGCGTGATTAACCACAGATCTTCTTTCTTGTTTGCCACGTTGGTCTCCTTGAGGCGTTTTTCGATAATGTTGGTGTGTCGCTTACTTTATGAGCAAGATAGTTTCAGAGCCTGCGTGTATCTTGAGCACGATTTTGATGGAAACCACCGTTGATCATGTGAGAAATTAACGTCAACAATGAAGTCCTTCGCCTCTAGGATTCAAGGCCAGAGCGGCGTTGAAGACTCCCCGCTTCAACGATTTGAGCTTAGGCATCTGGTGGTTATCCACTGCATTGCCAACTTTGATTATGAAAGCTGCGACCTTGGGCATCTCGGACCGAGATGGCGAGGCCTACCTGAAAGGATTGAAACCCTTTTCCGCGCCTCTATAGCAGCGTCAAAGGGGCAAAACAAGAGGGCACGACTATGATACGGAAGACTGAACTCTCCCTTCATCTATGCAATGAAAGTTCTCTGCCAGAAACCTCCCGTTCTTTAGACTTTGAAGTTTGTGTGTTACATCTCGTAGACGACGGCTTGGCGGCCCTCTAGGTTTTCTGCAGCGCCTTTGCCGGCCGATAGCCCACGTAGCTAGGACCACGCGGCCCTGAAGTCCGTTCATCGAACGACTTACATGCACCGATCAGATGCAGAGAATTCTGTATCAGGCGCAGGCGTTTACAAAACCAGGTAGGAAGTGGTCTGTCATGCTGATAGGTTCACAGGCAAATGCGCCTAACCAGCAGAAAGCGGCTTCGCCTGTTAAGCGCCTCTGATCTCGCTATGCGCTCGGCAGACCGCCACGACTGAACATTGAGGGGTGGAAATTGGCTAACAGACCCAGTAGAGGAATCACCGAGCATTTTGCGAAGCGGCCCGTGATGCCAGGCCACGCAATCTGTTTGTTAGATTCAGCTGATCGTGCATGTTGCAAGATCAACAGCGCCGGAGTAAGGGTTATCGTATTGGTTCGAGGGGCGGGACCCCGGATCCCAAGATCCGATTACGTGGAGAATAGATGAAAGGTTAGAACGATTCAGGTTAGGGTGTGTAGGGACTTACAGATTGAGCTTGT